TGTTGGATTAATATTTTTTTTTTCAAATTTAGGTGTGAAATTTTCTTACCGAATACCACGCAAGCTTAAATTATTCCTGGAAATTTTCTTTCGGGCACGAATATTTTAGGAAAATTATCCCTCGTCTTCGACTCGGGATAATTTTCAAAATATTCGTGCCCTCACAAAAATTTCCGAAAATAATTTAAGCTCTTGTGATATTATAAGTGATAATTTCATCTCCTTTGAATTCGAGTTGCGAAAAATCCCTTCTTATCGAACCTCTACACCCTAAAGTCAATCTGTTTTCCAAAAATCAACTTTTTACGTCAAGCGCTTTAAGCAGGATCGTGATTAATCAATGACCAGATTTTTCGAAACAACCTGTATACATTTTTAAAAAATCTTAAAATATGTAAAAAAACAAAATGAAATATATGTGTTTAAGCGTTTTTTCGGAAACTTGACCGTTTTTTAAATAAAAAATATTGTAATATTTGAGGGGTTGTTTCACCCTCTTGGAACTGGAATTGTTGTTTGTACTATTTGTACCCTTCAACAAAACAAGTTCAACAAAACATTAAGAAGTTCTGTAAAGGTTACTAGAATATTTCTATTTTAATTTTTGTTTGTTTTATGTATTAAAAAGTAGGTAAAGTTCTTTCGTTACTGAAAAGTATACAAAATTCTTAATTTATTATATATTTCAAGATATTGTAGTTCTCTTGTGTTTATAGTCTATTTTTTGAAAACAGAAGCTATATAATAAAATTGTTTTAAATCAGTTTTAGAAATGGAGAGTTCTATAATAATTGTTTTGCCAAAAACAGGAAAGATTATTCATAATTCTTCTTTATACGACGGAATGTTGTTTATTTTGTTGCTTCCTAGCATAGTATTGTTTTGTTCAGATCTCGCAATAATTTATTGGTTTGATTTAAAAGGGCACTTCCTTTATTTGATGACAACTTATTTACATTTACTGGTAAGGTAAAAATATTCTTTTTGCATTATTTATATACAGGGTGCCCCAGGAACAAGTGCAAGTATTTTAACTGGTAGTATAGTTCAACCCCAGAAACACGCATATGAGGTTTTTTTGACAAAAAAAAAATTGGATTTTTTTTGGAAATTTTCTTTAGTTTTTAGTTAAAAAACACAATTTCGTGATAATATGGCAACATAGGTATTAGATTAAATTTACAAGAAAGACAATCCAGAGAAGATCCAGTGGTTCTCAAAATTTTAGCAAAAAATCATTTTTATTTGGAAATTTTCAAAGTAAAATAACTCCGTTATTTTGGACTTCTTTGAAAAACGATAAAGAGAAGATATGTTTCTTTTATCGAGATCTACCGCCCCTTAAACTACTTGCACTTATTTCTGGGACACCCTGTATATTTTTTATTTATTTATTAATATCTCTGAAGTTATCGAAATATATGTATTTATATCTTATGAATATGTAAAGTGATCTGGAAGGAAGCCAAAAATGCAATAATATACAGGGTGTTCCATTTAAAAAAAATATCCCGATCCAGTCACACTTTTTTGTTCAAATCTTTCATAGTTCAACAATTTTTCTTAGTTCAGTATATAGATTTTTTTTTAATTATAACTTTTAGGTTACGTCTTGTGCTGGAGCATATTTATTGGCCAAGTCCTTTTTATTTAAATTATTTGCATTGGAGCAGAAATGGTTTTTACCTATAACCAAACCGACTCTAGCCACTAGATATTATATAAGTAAAGGTAAAATTTATCAAAAATGGGTATGGACAGTCGAGTTGGTAGCATTCGTTATAAACATCATTTGGCATTATAAGAGTAAGCCATAGTAATCATCTTGGATTTTTGTTTGTTTTAAGTTTTTTGTTGTCAGTTATTCTTCAATGCTGTGCTTTTGTAGTGGGAAATAAGTCAATTTCAGTACTCTATTACATACATATACATTTTTTATGCATTTATTGGATATGCACATGTATACATATACTTTGGGCACAGCTAGCTATAATGGGCTGTATACATTCTTTTGAAATAACTGCTTATTTGTTATTTAATTTTATACTTCAGGTAGGTACTGAGGTAAGATTACGAATATATAAGTAGTAATACTATTATAAGGCTAGTATACAGGGTGGCTCGAATTGTATTCGTGAAACTTCGTGAGCATATTTTGTAGATAAAAATAAGTTCGTAAACATTTTTGTCCTAAAACGCTTCTTTTTTGTGGTAAAATATTTAGAAGTTCCATTCTTATTCCGATTTTTTCCAAATAATTTCTGAGCTAACGTTGATATTTGGATGAAAATGATCAAAGGATCTCAGGATCTTTATCGCAGAAGATGCAGCAAATACACATACCGGAAAAATCTAGGGATATCATTTTATTAAAGTTAAAAATAAATGTTTTGAATAAACAACCACATATTTGTAGGCCGATTCTTTCTATACTTCGATTGAAACGAAGTAGTCACACTAGTTATTTCTAAATTTGGGACATTTGCCGAAGTGTTTGTGCATTTTTTGTCAAATGTATAAAAAGCACCTAGCATCAATTGTTCGAATTTAACCTGTATTGGCTATGTTTTTATGATAACTGGCCAGAATTCATTCAAATAACTCTGTTTAGTATTAAACGACATTATGGAACGTAGATATCTTAACAGAGACGAAATGCTAAGGGCCATGGGTATGCTCGAAGCTGGAATGCGCCAAATCGACGTAGCTAGAGAATTAAATACAACGCAAAGTGTAATATCGCGATTAAGTGCACGCTACCGTGAAAGTGGTGATGTTGCTGAAAGGCACACAGGACGACATCGCATTATTACCACTCAGCAAGATCATTTTTTACAATTAAATGCTCGACGCCGACCGACTCTTACAGCAACAGAGCTTAGTTTAATTCTCCAGAAAACACATAATGTAACCGTTAGTCCTGACACTGTTCGCTATAGATTAAGAGAGGTCAACCTAAGAAGCAGACGCCCCTGGAGAGCTCAACCCTTAACGAGAGGAAATCGAGAGGTACGATATTTGTGGGCTCAAGATCATGTTCAGTGGTCGAATGAACAACGGGCCAATATTCTTTTCACGGATGAGTCACGCTTTGGAATTCATCCGGATTCGAGAAGGCTTAGGGTATGGAGAGAACCGGGAAATCTTATTCGGTTGGAACATGTTCAGGAAGTGCACCCTTATCAAGGTGGAACAGTTATGGTCTGGGGAGGAGTCCAGTTAGGCCGAAAAACCGATCTCGTTTTTCTTGAAAGGTTTCTAACAGGAATCACATATCGTGATTTAATTCTTGAGCCTGTCGTGTTACCATATGCCAATGATCTTGGGAGAAACTTTATTCTCATGCATGACAATGCACGGCCTCATACAGCCGGAGTGGTAAGTGAGTTTATCAATGGTCATCAATTAAACATCTTCCCAAACAAAAACCCCGTCGAGGACGTATGGGACGCGGTCCAAAGAAGAATTTTGAGAATGGGTATGCCTCGTGAAACTCGTAGGGATCTGGTTCGGGCCGCGAATGCAGCGTGTCAGGCTGTGCCTCAAGAAGAGATCGACGACCTGATCAGGAGCATGGAGAGACGATGTAGGGCTGTAATGAACAGTAGAGGAGGCCATACCCTTTATTAAGTAAAAATGGTTTTATCTTTTTTCTTTTAATTCACAGTTTAGAATAAAAAAAAATGTGTGTATTTTTTTGAGTTCAATAAAAATCAAGGTAAATTTGAAAAATTCGGTAAATTTCGCATTTTTATTTCCAATACGTCCTGTAAACTATTTGTTTATTTTAATTTTATTATATTAGAAATGCAAATAATAAAATTCCTGACGATGGCTGGATAAAATTGTAATATCCCTAGACTTTTCCGGTGTGTGTACTTGATACAGGTTGAGCTTGTTCAGGTAGTACTACTTGACAGTCATATGCATTGTTAAGAGACCTGTTATAATTCGCGCTTTATTCCGCGGTCTTTTCCTAACAAACACAGGAGTTAGGCAGGGATGTGTCTTAGCGTTTCTCAACATATTTATGGCAGCACTCTCCATTATAGTGAATAGCAAACTACAGGAAAGAGGATTGGGCATTAGATACAGATACGACGGCTGTCTGTTCAACATAAAAAGACTCAGGGCAAAACCCCATAAACATCACAGAACTTCAATACGCTGATGATTGCGTTCTAGTTGCAAAAACGTTACAGCAATTACAAGAAATGTTGAACACATATACCTGGGCATACGAGGCTTTGGGTCTTAAGCTGAACATCGATAAAACTAAAATCATGTGCACTCCCCCGGAAGATCATAACAATGCTATAGAAATCGGAGAACTATTGGAATACGTAGCGGAATTCAGTTACCTCGACATGCGACAGTGTGATTTCGAGGTTAAGAATAATAATTGACGGTAGACCACTTTTTTTGGTTCCCGATTTAAAAATTATGGAGATACGGAGAAACCAATATCCACTTTATCCATCTTAAAACATTCTTTGGGATTAAGTTTTTCAAGTTTGACAATGTTTTCAACTTGACAATTGACATGAACTTTTCTTCCTTTCAGAACCGTTCTCGAGTAGCCCAGGCTTAAAGATCTGGAATTTGAAATTCGTGAATGCGGAAGAGTAAATAAGGTTTTAAAGCCCAATGTCCTATAATGTTAGTTTTTAAGGCCTTATTGTGCAGAGGATGTTGTTTTGTTAATTGACTCATTCAAACTGTCCTGATGATGGGAATGAAATTCTCGAAAGCTTGACAAATTGAATAAGTAGATTTATTAGCCTGTGTGGCGATTATTGACTGCATCTTCACTTAAATTTTGAATGTTTTCTTAACTTAGTCAATCACGACTAAATCTGCTCTTTTTTTATATTTAAGAACATCTTAATGCATATTCATATTTTCTAGGTTGATTCAGTTGCTGATTATATAAAGAGTAATAAGACATTAAATTTGGAGTACAATCGAAATTGTGCAAAGTACATAAGCTCTGAATGGTACCAATTAAATGTGAGGTATGAACTGAACGTTATATATGAGAGGCATATATTATTATTAAGGTACTTCGAAAAAAAACTTTTAGTTTCAATTTAGTAAATTACTAATAAGGGTTTTTCAGTTATGCAGATGTATTATGCAATTCTTTTATTACAAGATTGGTTATTTGCAGCCTTATGTGTCTGGGCATATCAATATTGCCACTTATAACATCATTTGTCAGCATGTTTAAGGGTGTAAGTAAATTACAATAATGAAATTAGATTTCATATTCTATTTAAATGTGGGAATAAGAGATAGATATGGTATGAATGAAACAAAAAAAAACACGCAACGATATCTGATAAAGACTCTTTAGCCATCGTTCACCGTTTCGTCATCATTATTTGTCAAATATGAGTTTTAGGGTATGTCTTAGATCAGTTCATATTGTTTAGAACATTTTAAGTACCATTGCGATCAAAAAAAGTAGTACAACAAAATATGATTTAATCTGCTGGTCTATAATAAAATATTTTTAAAACTTGAAAAATTGCCCATTTTTAAAAGGTACGTAAATTTTTTATACTTTTATTTCGCCACGTATTACCAAATTCATGGTAACACCTAAAATGTTAGGTGGCATAATTGTATTGTTTTCATAGTGACGACGATATCCACTTCTCGATATACTTATAGACCAGGAGTTCTATCTGGGACTACTAATTCTTGTACTACTTTTTTTTTATCGCAATGGTACGTTCCTATATTAGTAGTTGAGCGAGTTCCATTTTTTTCGGTATTTATTTATTTTTTATTTAACTCTCATCAGTTACGATCCCTTTCGAAGTCCAATCGTTTGGACTGTTAAAATTAATTTCATTCATATACGGCGTCTACGGGCAAGTAGAGTATGTTGTAGTCCTGAAAATGCACTTTACAAAACCGTTTCGTTTTTGTTCCAGAGATATTCGTTGTTAAATATTTTGGAAAACAGAAAAAAACTATTTCTTTTGTAGATTTTCACAAATAACTCAAGATCTGTTAGAATTATTAAAAAACGGTGTGCGGCTGTCAATTCTACGTAAAATGAACTATCAGTAGGAATATCTTGGTTGTGATCTGAGGGATTTCGGTCTTTGACAAAATCGACAGGGGTGCTGGAGGAATTTTTTCCTAAAAATTTTGAAAATCGTTTCTTGTTTGTTTCAGTATGTTGTGGGTTCCGAAAATGACTTACAAAACCGTTTCTGTTTTGTTCCAGAGATATCTCTGCCGTTAAATATCTTGGAAACAGAAAAACTATTTCTTTGTAGATTTTCACAAATAACTCAAGATCTGTTAGAATTCATTAAAAACGGTAAAAGTGGCTGTCAATTCTACGTAAAATGAACTATCACCAAGCATATTTTAGCTGTAACTGAGACATTTCCTGGTTCTTGACAAAATCGACAGGGTGCTGAGTAACTCTTTTCCAAAATTCCTTTGAAAATCGTTTTGCTTGTTTCGTAGTATGTTGTAGTCCTGAAAATGCACTTTACAAAACCGTTTCGTTTTTGAGATTTGCGCATTTTATTCCAGATATATTCGTTGTTAAATATTTCGGAAAACAGAAAAGTAGTAGTAGAGTGTTCTACAAGCGTCTCTTTCTCGAGAAAAAGAATTTATAAGCTTAGCAATGAGCTCTTGTTCATTTTGGTTAAATCTTTGCATAATCTAATGCATTTTTGCAATAAAAAAAATTGAATTTTGTTTTACAGCAACAATCAAATTTTAATTTTGACATTGATCGATGTCCGTCAATAAAATTATAACCCCAAATCGAATGACAATGACAATCATTACTAAAAAGAATATGCACTAATTTAGGAAATGCCGTATTGACGTCATCAATTTCTTTATCATCTGGTTGGCAAGTGATTGAGAGAGTTTGACAATATATGACGTGACGTTGAACGATGGCTGACCATTCATTCTATAGTATAGATTTGAACGGGTCTGTTACAGTAGCCCCCCCCGGTCCTCCAAACTCTTTAATATTTTAGCACCATTGCACCCACTTAGCACTACCTAGCACCCAACGTACAGAGCTAGCACCACAACCCATAGCGAGTTACAGGACATTTTTGCCGGGAGGGCTAATGTAACGCTAGCCTCCCTCGGTTGAATTTTTCCCTTAAAACCCCAGCACCCCATTGCATCCACCTAGTAATCTCACTCCAGCAATAATACGTAACTGAACGAAGTACATCAG